CAAACTGCTTTGAGGAAAAAAGTGCACAATCCAGTTTAAAGCTTCATTTTAAATTATTCCTGTGCACTAATTTTCTGCTTCATTTTATTGACATAATTGATACGATACTTCAACACATCTTGGAAATACACTGCAATGAGCATATTTCCTTCTGATACATGTTTTTTCAAATGAATAGTGAAGAAATGATATTTTATTACAGCATATTTTTCACATGAGAGTTGACTTATATGTGTTTTGTGGGGTTTTTGTGCTGTATTTCCTCTCTGCAAGCAAACACTGAATTCTAAAATCAGGTCAATATTGTAGTGTCTATGGCATGTTACTACTACACTGGTAAGCTTGGTGTTACAGTAGTATTGAGAGTGTCCAGAAGAAACATTTTTTCAGAGAGACACTTAGCACAGATGGCCAAAGGTATCTATAGAAGTTACAACCATACAAATTTTTCTGAAATATGTACAGGAGTACATAGAAGAAAATAAACATTGTCGGGTACAAACACCAGGAGTTTCTACAGTGTCCTACTTTCCCGAAGACAGTATGAAAATAAAATAAAAATTGGGGCTTTTGACTGTTCACTAACGTACAATTGTTATTGTAATTTCTGAGCAAATTTCCTCCTTGTAAAAAACCCGTACACAACATGCACACTTTGTAACTTATATGGCAGGTCTTAGGAACAAAACTAAACTTTTTTTTTTAAGGGCAGCATAAATGTTATACTGGGTGTATGTTGTGGCTCTGGGTGCATGTCACTTAGAGCTACTTCCAGTTCCAGAGTTTTACAAATTAATAATTATTTACCTTGGTGTTGTGGTTGCTGTAATAAATAACAAGTGGACAGAGAAAGAAATTTTTGATTCTGCAATTAAAAGTCCAGAGTTCCTAGAGAACAAATGTGACTGATGGTAAATGTATCAGATTTTGGAAAAATTCTGTTATTTGTATTAAACCTCATCATTTCAAGTTTTGTAACAAGGTCAGCTGTCCCATAAAATGGAGAGTAATACTTTGCTAGAGGGTAGGGTATCGTGCAGCTGTTCCAATGACATATACCATAGATAAAGTCACAGTTCAGTTTTCCTGCAGGTAGGCAGTCCAAATATCATGCTTCTTCCAGTGCAAAATACAAAGGAAAAACAGCATTAGATAAACCTTGTTTCCTGGCAGAAATTGCCATAAATTTCTCAGCTGGAAGTCCTGCATAACACCAAGGAAATCACTGAACAGGCACCTGATTTACATTAGTATAAATGAGTGCAGAATGGCTGTCATAGATGTTTTTGGCATTTCCCTTCTCCTTTCCCTGTGTTGCATATTACTTTTCAAGAATATAGGAGAAGTTATTAAAGGTGATTCATCACATTCCTTTAGATTCAGGTTTAAAGGCAGTCTAAGAAAACGGCACTATAAACTCCCCCTTTATTAGTGCTGTACATGCCTTTCCTGCAAGGCTGCTTCAAAGCGACACAGTTCTTTACAAAAACGAGAGCCTGCAAATGTTTAAATTGAGTTTGTATTTAATTTCTTTTTTATCTCTCAGATTCTCACATCTGGCTAATACAGTCCTCAGTTCAGCTGGTAATGGACTTGCGACAGTTCTGGAGTTCGTGAACCTTGAATCTGAAGGTAAACCTCCTGTCGCTGGGCTCCTGTGGATTCTCTCTCTGACTATTTGTGCCCTTAATGTTGTCGGTTGCTATTCATAGTCTTTTTTATTTTATTTTATTTTCAGTCATGTGATGCAATGATCTAAGTTCAGTACAGAAGAGTCTGTTGGGCTGCCAAAGCCAAAAGACAACCTACAGCAATTCCGAGTTGGGAAAGAGACATAGCAACCTTTGGGATTATTGCTTAGCAACTGCAAATACACAGAGGAGTAAAACTCACAGCCCGGCTCCACAGCAGGTCTGAGAAATCCCTAATTCACTTTAAGATTTTTAATGGTTGAGAACAGATGGGCATATATTAAACTCCTATTCATTTGCAAAGCCACTTTGAAAGCAGGACAAATGACATCTATTTTGATACCTGCTCCAAAGGTAAGAAAAACAGTTCTTCAAAGCTTCAGAAAGCAAAAGCGAAAGACTTTTTTAAATTTAATTGTATTGAAAAGAAGATCATGTATGAAAAGGGTATTGGGCTTTTTGTGATTGGTGAGACAAACATGCTCTGTGAAGCACATCAGGGAAAGGCAAACCTATTTCTGAGCAACAGAGTGTCAAAGAGGTTGGACTCTGTTTTTGAAAAGACTTTGTAACTCAAACATCTCCAAAATATTTACTTAGACAAACTTTAGTCTTTCCTGACCCTATCCCACCCATAAAAATCCCCTAACAGAGTAACAATGAAACCATAAAAATCTTATTTATGAGCAGATTTGCATTTTGTACAGAAAACAGAGGAATAATCTTTTTGTACCTGCAGGGATTCCAGCAAGAATATTTCTCTCGCAGAAAAGGAGCCAGGAAAGTGGCATCCTACTAAATAATGAAAAGCTTGTCTTGCCTTCAGCTTGGACAAAGGCTTACAGGAAACTTTATATCACATTTCAAATTTCCTGGGTGTTTCTAAAGCTTGTCTCTGTGCACCATGCTTACCATTATTTGGACAATCAAGCCTCCACTTGGGAATGTCATAGGCCACAAGAGCTCTATATATTATGGGCCAAATTCTCAACTAATGTAAATCAGCACTGAAGTTTATGAGCCACTGGTGTCTTATACAAACTGGAGGTGTGTCCCTCTAATTCTCCACAAATTCCCAGTTTCAGGGTCTGATTCTAGCATTCCTTTGCTGTTTATTTTAACAGTTATTTGCTGTTTGTATGTTCTTCCATACCCTCTTCTTCTTCTTTATCTGTCCTGCATTAAAGCAGTGGGCATAGTTCTCTATGCTCTGCTTCTGTTCGTGGAGTTATGCGAATGCCATGGAATTGAGATAGAACAGTCGCACTTAGTTTTTGTTTTGTTTTGCTTTGTTTTATTCAGAGACATAAAGGTACTTTATAAACATTTACCAATCCTCAAAATCATCCTAACAAATGGTTGAGAGCAGTGTAGAAAATATATTCATCATTATTCAGAATCAGCCACCTCATAAAGCAGAGTGCAGTTGTCACTTTAACATTGCACAGAAACTGCAGAGCGGTTTCATAAAGGATGTTAAAAAATAATATAAGTATTTGAGACTGCAAGAACAGTTTATTTTGGCACGACAAAACCAGCTGATTTGGAATGTGACCAGAACATTTGGTTAACACCCTGCTTTGAACCAGAAAGAGTCTGGTTTTACAGCTTATTGAAAGAAACTCACCTAAGCAAGGAACAATTTGACAGGGTTGACAGGTTTCCCTTTCTACCGTTATTAATCTGGACTCCTTTACAGCTCATGTCCTTCGGTGGCAAAACCAGCTACCATCTTAAAACCCTCTGCGTGGGTCAGGCAGGAAGCTTAATCCATAAATTCGTCTCACTCCCCAGCAGGTAATCATCTTTGAAAACAAATCATAAGATGATGCCAACAAGCCCATTGAGAAAACATAGAAATTTAGTGCTGTGAAGCATCCTACCTGTCCAAGCAGTATTTGGACTCAAACAATGGTTATGAACCAGAAAGTCAACATATTAGTATTTACATTTGTGTGCCAGGAGGGCTGTAGATCACATTTATGCATTTCCTGGAGGGCTGAACTCTCTTCAGAACAGCTACAAATGCTTAAAAATGAAGAGCAAAACATATCAAAAGCAATGGTATTGCTATGGATACTGAAAGGCCTTAGCGAAAAGCACTTTTAAATGAGAGCTTGGAAAGGATAGTGAGGCAGCAAGTTCAGAGTGGAGTTTCATCTTTGATTTGGAAAGATGTTAGGCTCGCTCTATTAATATCATCTTTCCCTTGCTGGTGTTTAACACTGAGCTGGGTTTTTTGCAGCATGCTGGCGATTTTTCATGCTTTGAATCAAGTAGTTAGACAACATTCTGCTCTGTCCTGTATGTGTAAATCCCATTACAAATGCAGACAGTTATGTGTGGAGACATACAGCAATAGTTTTCAAATTGTGCCTTGTGAGCAACTCAGTTTCTTCCTGACATTTCACAGAATGAACATTTTGAGAAGAAAACAGGAGAGTTTGGGAAATTGTAAAGGGAGATATCTGCAACTCTCTGTAGGTCTGTCTTTACAGAGTAATCTACAAGATTTAAGTGCTTGTGAACAGCTTAATTACAGAGTTCATGGTATAGAGTTTCCCTTCCTGTAGGAGCTCTGCTGATCCATACACCTGTGTCCCCGTTACCTTAACAAAATGTCCAGAGGAAAAAATAATTGCTAAAGTTGAAATACAGTAGTCTATGGGACAAGCCTCCTCACTGTTTTTCACAGCTACAGAAAAGATGAAGCAGAAGGCGGCATGTAGAGGAATCTTGCTCCTAGGCATCTGGTATTTTCCATTACTTGCTTCCTTTGTCTCATAGCCACTGGATTTCCTAGAGGCATGGAATGAAGCCTAAACAGAAATAATGATACTAGGGGTAAGAGGAATCCACTGGTTAGAACTGGGGGACAAGACTTCCGAGCACTGTTCACCGCTTGGTTTCTGAGTGTCTAAGTGACCTGGAATTAATCACTTCTGTGTCTCAGTTTCTTCTCCTGTAAGAAAGGAACACACTTATTTAGTTGCTCTGTCTCCACGGGCTGTTGTGATACATAATTAATCTTTATAAATCATTTACTGATCTTTGAAGTAAAGGGCCTGTATTTTTTTAAGAGTACAAAGCAGCAGTAACAGAATAAAAAGGAACATAGAAAAAGAATATTAGTTAATTCCTAACAATAGACTTTCTTCCTGTGTCATCTGCTAGGACACTGCTGCATCTTTTGGCATTATATAACATGCTGCTTTTGTTCTGTGTCACAGTGATTGAAGTATGGCTGCTCAGCCAGAAGCAGCAGCCCAAACTGCAGGTCTAAAACATCCCAAACTTGGAGGTAAGAATATGACTGCCACAGAAATGAAGAGAAACCAGGGGAATGATGAGCTGCCATGTCTTAATAATTATGCTCTGTGGAAAGAGTGTTTTTATGAAAAAGTACAGCAGAGGTGTCTGAGTCTGCAGGAGACAAAGGTGAAGATGATTCGTGCGCAAAAGGCAAAAGAAGAAAAGGTAAAGAAGAGGGAACCCTGTGACTGGCTGTCCAAAGAGTGGTTCAGTGAAGAGAAAGAGTCACTAGATACACGCATCTATTTGCTTGACAAACTCCTACCTACATTAATCCCAGGAATGGAAAAACTGTTAATGGAAGTGGAAAGAAAGAATGTGCTTTCACCAGACAAAGAACCAACCAAATTTAATCCCATTTGTTTTCTTGGAGAATATCTGATGAGACATAATCCTCAGTATAGTATTTCTACAAAACCAAGCCCATACCTGAGAGGAATGAAGATGGTCACAGAGGAGCTAAAAACTGAGATGCCAGGTACAACATCAGAGAGGTGAGAGAGTTCAAAGTGTGGCTGGTCACAAGACCAGAGCTGGTGTCTTGGTCTCTGTTTTACAAAAGGAATGGTGTGACTGCAGCCTGGCTGGCAAAGTGTCAAACAAAATGAACCTTGTGGAGTACAGTGCCAGAGATGGTAGTTGTCTCCCATAAAAACTCGAGAAGCAAGACAAATGCCAGACCATGTCACACAAAATGAAACACTAGTTATTCCTGTTTAAGGCATATTCTGCCCTTCACAAGTATATAATTCCTCTTGAGACTCTATCTTAATTACATACGTGAAATGCAAACTGCTTTCAAACCGGTCTAGGTTAGTGACAGCAGTTCTTTAGGACAGCTGTTAGTATCAAAGGTCTATGGAATCTTCAGATAATTTCTTCTATATTCTTCCAAACCTAATAAAAATAAACCTTTTTTTCCTCCTTCAGAATGGTTTCTCTTGACCAAACCAACAATAATATCGTCCTGGCACATTGTAGAAACTTCTTCTCCTAGAATTTTTACTTAGGCTTTCCATTCAGATTCTTTTTTCCCTTTAAAGTAGAAACTGGTTTGTATTTTATTATGTTGCTTATTTCTGGGGTGTATTTCAGTGTAATATGATGCTTTGCCTACCTTTGTGTAGGCAAGTGTACGCACTTTGTGTAGTGCTTTAGTGTAATATTTATTGAATATTGGAAGGGGGTTCCATGGCATCTTACAATACGCTAAGGTTAGAATGTGAGTGCATTAGGTGAACAATAATGCTTTCATTTTCATTGCTCTATTCAGAAAAATATAGAAGTGAACATTTGTGTCTATAGATGGCCCAGAGGTGATTGTGAATTATGTCAAAATTACTCATTCACTACTAGATCACTTTATACTATATCTGTGTTTGTAGAATAATGACTTCTATTTGAATGGCTGTCTCTTCTATTTGCATAAATAGTACATACAGCTTGAAAATTGGTTTCAGGGTTTCAGTGTCAGGAATTAGGGAAGTAAAATGTTGACATGTCTTATGCATAAACTCTAAATGAAGATAATTGAAGTTCCCGGTACTATAATGAATAAAAGAATGTGTTAAATCTCTCTCTACTGCTCTGAGTTTCTCTCTCTACATTTCTACTCCACATACTGTTACAGTTCAAAGGAACATGCTTTGTGTGAATACAACTAAAGCAGTGTGATAAGTGAATTTCATACAGTCACTTAACCTCCTTTTTCCCCACAGATAAAAGAAATTATAACTGACTGATCGTGGTCAGTGTGTAAGAGCTCAGCTTTTTGGTTTTTCTTCATAAGCAGACATACAGTAGTACGACTGGAGCTGGTAAAAGATTTTCAATTTTATTTTTTATTTTTTAAATGCCAGTCCACTGAAACAAATGATCTGGGGAAACATCTTCTTTTTCAGTGAGCTTTCACTCAAGCACAGACTGTTCTGGGGGAATGTTTAGGATGCCAGCCTTGCCACACCTTTGTTTTGGGGACTGTTTCACCATTCATATTGCTTCACAGAAGGACACCTGGATGCAGGAAGTTCAGAACCATATATCATTTTTATTTTGCAAAAGAAATTGAATTAAAATACATAAAATTTCCTGGGGTTTTGGGTTGGGTTTTTTGTTTGGTTTTGGGTTTGGGGTTTTTTTTCCTGCTAAAATACTCTTTGCTTTCATTGTGAATCAGAGCTTATTTCTGGAGAGGTCAGATTTGCCTGTAGAATGCAAAGTGTTGGCTACCAGTGACTTGTTATCTTGGCCTTGGTTGTTAAGTCTATGTTTACATTTGGAGACAGGTTCTCAATTTGTAGCTATGAGACCTGATGCAAAGGAAGTGGCTATCAAGACTTGTAGAAATCAATCTCTCTGTAGACAGCTCTGCCACGGGGGTTTATGTAGCCATAGCTGTAGCAGGTTTTGCATATCCGCTGGTAGTAGTATCATGGGATTTGCATTCAGAGCAGCTCAGGATTTACATATTTGTGATGGCTGTATTGTGGGATTTGCATAGGATTCTTAAACCACAGCAGCACAGAGGATTTTACCGACACCATGTAGCACTGAGGCTCCTAATGTCAGTCACTGGCTTTCTAAACAGGAAAAAAATGTTACGAGAGATGCCAGTCTGTGCTCAAAATCTCTCATATAAGCACCAGAAAGATGAGGAGTGGAATTCTGGCCCCAATGAATCTCCCAGGAGCCTTGACATTACCTTCAGGAAAGGCAGGATTTCACCACAGGTTCTTACCTAAAGCTTACCAGTCCTCAGAGAGCTCTCCTCAGGCTTCCTCCGGTCTCTCCTTAACGGCCACCTGACCGTGAGTCAAGGCATGCAGGAGAACAGATGGGAGAAATTCCTCATCCAAATGGATTGATACCTGAAACAGAGACTTTATTTGTCCAGGAATGGTAGTCCTTCCGTCTGAGTCACCCATCCTTGTGTGGGAGTTAGGCGGCTGTCTTCCTGAAGAAACATGTTTCATTCCGCAGGGACAAGTCACCCTCACTGCCATCTCATCTTTTCTGGAAATGTCTAATACTGAAATGATCTCACTTTGAAACGGGTGCCCAGCGCTGCTATAGCCTGTTTTGCCATTATTGTCTAGGGAGGAAGCATTTTGTCCTGCTCCAGGGACACCAGGCAGAGGATGCAGCTGCCTGGTGTTTTAGGATCCTGGAAATAAATGCAAAACTGCAGCACAGCGCAGGTGCAGCACGCACTGTAACGTGTGCTGGGCACTGCCCAAATTAATCGCCAGAGTCAACTCCTAGTATGGCCTTAGCTCTGCTTTCAGCTTGCAGAGCGCTGCTGAGGACGACCTGCAGCTGGAAATGGTCTGGTTTTCTCTTTCCGTCTGTAGCATACATTGGAGAAAAAATCTGTTAGTCCTTTTAGCTTGGTACCTGTTACATACCTGCTCTTTGCTGTGTCTGTGGAGGAGTCAGAAGATAGGAAATTGTTTTACCCTTCCCCGCTATCAAAGTGCCGGTGGCTGAACTGCCTCAGCAAGCACTTGTGCAAGGCCCATGACTGATTAAGGAACCCAGTTATTCATTAAAAAACTTCCGTGGTAAGTGGCCATGAAGAACAAGCACCTAGTGATAAAACTGACTGTGATCAAAATGTATTGGTGTAACGTGTTGAACAGGCCTTTCTATTCATTAAAGAAAGTATCATTGTTTTATAATGTCTAGGATGACCCCATAGCAACAGAAGAGAGCAGGGACAGGATGAGCCCATCTTCACAATGTGTGAAACAGGGGGAAGAAGTGAGCAGAAATCGTTAGTTAAATTATAGTTTCTGGACTAGTGTGTTCTCAGGTACAAAAGAGGAGCAATACAAAAGAGGGTGTAAGGGAGAGCCGCAAAGGTGAGCAGGGCAGCTGTCTCAATGCAGACAATTCCAGCAGCCCGCGTGAGCAGGAACTGTGCTCCCCATATGAACTGATCCTTTGGCTCTAAGTGTTTTGAACTTCCTAAGGGCTTTTTTTTTTTTCCGTTTCATAAATGAACAAAGTCAAAACCAAATCAGATGAGTTCTACAGGATCAATTTGATTCAGTTGTTTTGTTGTGCAAAATGGAGGATTGGGAAAAACATGGCTGGGTGATTAGAGAAGCAAAGAAAACGGAAGGAAGAAGAAAGGGAGGTACTTTTAGTCCAAGCTTGCAGACGCCATGTGTTCAAAATGACAGAGGTTGGTGTATTATCCCTGTCCTGAGGCAGTAAGGACTTTATTGTGTGACACTGCTTAAGAAATTTCATTGAACATTGTTCTTTGCCAGTGAAGTGCTTATGTGAAATGGTACTTAGGCTTTGAGAGAAATGCATAGTGATGCAATTTTGTTGGTAAATCAAGTGTAGCAAAATTAGGCAACTCTCTTCCTGCTAAAATTGAAAGGAAATTGAAGGACATCTACACAATAAATGATTAATACTACTATAAATGTGAAGGTAAAATTTATCACTGTTGAAACTACACAAACTAGGAGAGATGTACAGATGATTTTCCCTTAAATGTCTACTGCGTACTCTACAAGAGGCTCTGTCCACAAGCACGTATCTGACACTCAGAGGTTATTTCTTCAGATTCATAGTTACACTAGATTTCAGGAGATGATACACGTCAGAATATAAATACTCTCACCTCCTTGGAGCTGCCTTCTGGAAAGCAGATTACTAATATCTAGTCCAGTAGTCACACTAATAATTTTGTGCCTCAAACATCAAGTATTTCTTTGGAAAAAAATCTGCTTGTACTAGAAGGACAAGAATTTCAGTAAGAAGTTATTTCCTTTCCTTTTGTTCTGCAGGGTAGGCTTAATCTGTTATATATCTTAAATATGTTTATGATGGTATCTTTCTAAACCATATTCCCATGTCCTACAGGCTGGCCAGGATGAAGGTGGAGGCAAAGAACAAACGTAAGGACAGGGAGCAGGTGGACAATATGAAGTCACAGGTGAAAGAGATGAGAAAGGAGGTGCTGGCAATTCAGTTCAAGGAGTGGACAGTGGATGTCAGTGGCAGAATACCGGTTGCACTGGTAACTAGGCAAGATCCTTGTTAACACACTGCTATGCTTGTTCCAGATAGGAGGAAAAGGAAGATTATGGTAGTGTCATCTGCCCTGGCATGGCAGCGTGGAGCACAAGGATGGGTAATGGCTCTGACATCCCTTAGGGTCAGGGTGCATGTCGCTGTCTACCACTTAGCCTCACCAAGCACTGATTCCCCACAAGCACGTGGAAGGATTGCAATGCGTTCTTCACAGAGGTCCTGGGAAGCTAAATGCCCCCTAAGGTACTCAGATACTCCTGAGGTTGTTGGATATGTACCTCATCACTGGATGTCCTTCTCTGCAGCTGATTATCCCTCAGAATCCCCTTAAAACGGTCTGGGGCAGCCACCCTTGCTTTTCTGTGGCCTCCATTAAATCTTCTTTCTACCCCTGGGACTCATACAAATTGATACTGCAGCTCATAAAAGATGCGATTTGCAGTAATTGTCATACATCTCTTGGCACAAGCATCTTTCTTACAAGTCACACAAGGCCCCTAGGAAATTGGCCTGTGATTACACACAGCACAACACAGACAAGGTCTACATTTAACAGGGCCCACCTATGTGTGGTAAGAAGCATGGCTGGCCCGTACAACTGATTATTCTGGGTGATTTATTTTAGTAATTGCCTACCGTTGTCTGCATGAAACAGGCCTTTGACTATTATTACCTTGATTTATAGGTTCAGAGTGCCCTGAGGTCTTTTCCAGATGTCATTGCTTCTGCTCCCATAGATGTGAGAAAAGGTAAGTTTTCGATGTGTCTCCTTTAGTTTTATTTCTGTGGTCTGAATTCTGATGCAAACTGTGAGCAAACAGCAAATGGATTTGATAATAGAGAAAGACTCTCTAAGGGTAGTTACACCAGCTAGGATATGCACCACAAATCTTCAGACAGATTGGAAAGAGACTGAACCACCATGTGATTCATTAATATGATCTTGAAAAGAATGAAAATAAGTTTAAATCTTTCAGAGAGATAAAAAGATCAGATGCAGGTGCTTTCCACTTACGTCCTGCACTAGCCAGGCATTGCCATGTGCTTATCACTGTTTTTAAGAATCAGTGTAACAACAACCTCCTCCTTCACCTGCCCTATCAGATGGTGTTCATCTCATGGGGGGTCTTGGAAACCCCATGGGCAGCTTGGCATACTGGGAGGTGTGGAGGAAAGGTAGGATCAACAAAATTAAAGTCTGACAGTGTTGTTATTTCTTATAGTTTCAGGGGAAATGCTGAAGCTTACCCTGCACTCCAACAAATAGCCCATCTTGTCTAGCTCTTCCCTTTGCCAGTCCCTGGCATGCCAGTGACACATAGCACAAGGGCCTCCCTCTGTACCAGAGCAATCAGCACAGACAGATTTACATAATTCCTGTCCACTTTATATAGCTTACACTTGACCTCCTCGAATAATGATAATTGACTAGATAGAGCCAGGAACATTGAAGTGGCAACATACAGCCTGCTGCCAGCCCTTTACATCAAGAGCCTGTAATAATCATCAATAATAACGAATCTGCCTTTGCTGGAGGATGGGATGATAAGCAGGGAACCTCGAGAGTGCATTTCTGCTTGCTGCTGGAGTCACCTCTGCCTAGAGCTTGCCCTTGCTCAGCCCTTTCTGTATTACAGAATTGTTCCTCTGAGTAATCGTCCTATATTGGTAGTATGCTGTGAGAATGCCAAACGCAGCCCTTGTGCTCCTGCTGTGGTGGCTGTGGTTCTCGAGTGTGAACGGATGCTGGGACGTGAGATTGAGAAGAAAGTTTCTGTCCAGATCCTTGCTCTCCAGATGCTGGAGGTGCTTTATGTCATATTTCACTAATAGTGTGGCTCCATTTCTTGATTTATTTCATTTAATAGCATCCAATATACACTAAAGGAACATTAAGCTTTGTTTTATAGTTTAATAAAGATAATGTACAGTTTAGGAATGTCTTAACCAACAAGAGAGAAATGCATTCTATGGTGAATTTTCTCATTACTCCTGATATATTGTAGAAGAAAGAATAGAAAAATAATCCCGACAGAAATAGTATGTCTGTGCTCAAGGACCTCATTCAGAAATCTATGTAGACATTTGACATATCTTCTCAGTTCCATTATAGCAGCCCAGAAGCTGACCAAAAGATAGTTTTGAATATTGTCATCAGTAAAAATATTCCCACAGATCTTCTTGGGAAAATTACTACGATTTTCAGATTCCACTCTTGCAAAGCAGAATCCATGTCCCCAGAATTCTAAGGCAGTTTTATCTGCTTGTTAAATAAAGAATAATTTCTTCCCTCACATAATTAGTTGTAAGTACCGTTAAAGTCATTGCAATTTGCACCAACATATGTCAAGAATAAATATGACCATACAGTTCTGAATAGGTAAGTGCACATTCTCAGCAAGAGAAATATGTAAGAATCAGATTTAGGTAGCCTCTATACAGTCAGATGCTTCAGCTACTGTGTAGGATAACCTCAAATAAATGTAATCCAGCATGAGAAGAAAGTTAATGTAACATACAGTGTGCAAAAAAATGTGTACAATATGCTAAACCACAACTGTATGCTTTCTAAACCAGTATCCCTTCATTTTTTACTAGCAATCTGTGACAGGAAGCTGGAAATCGTAGAGACATTGGAAAAAAAAGTAAACATAGATGAATTCACAGAGGTGAGAAATTAAATAAGAGCATCCGATTCAGAATATGATGTTTATCACAAACTAGTAGCATTTCCCTGGGGATGGCTAAGATGAGTAAGTGAAGGGCTTCACTCCTCCAGCATCCCATGTAACTGGTTGTATCAGGACATTTCATGGTCCATCCCCATACCCATCCTCTGCTATCACAACGCTTCCATTCTCGCCGGCAAGGGGGAAGTATTTTGTTTTCCTCAGAGCCACAGCCTGTGCTGCTTTCTGAGAAGTTACCCTCGAAGCAGTGGTTTTTAGGACATCCCTCTCAGTCCCTTTCTAGAATGCCAAAGCCCTGAATCACTTATGAATTCAGATTGTGCATTGGCTGCTCAAGGGAGGTTTGGTGTCCCAATACAACCATTAGCCTGAGGTAATTAGTACTGTCCCCGAAGTATTGTTATTTGTGATTAAGTTCTATTAACCACATTAAAACCCAACAAGTGATGAACTGGGATGAGAAGCTCTACTGTTTTTGCCTTGAACCTTTACTGGCCTGAACCATTACTGGCTTGAACCATTACTGGCTTGAACCATAACCAAACTGCAACAAGTGTCATAAATGTGTGAGAAGCATAACCAGGCTGAAAAATACACAGTTTTAAAATCAAAAGCTGTTATTGAGAAACATCAGAAGTGTGCTTTTAACTCACCAAAATCAATAAATGTAGTTGGAAGTTTCACTCCATTACTCTACTCTTCATCAATTTGAAAACAACCCAATCTGTTCAAACTATATTTACTGAAAAACTCTCCAGGCCAAGAGTTTGCCAGCCATTTCTACCCACGACAGAGCTAAATTTTATGGCTGGGTAATTAAACCTGTGAAAAGGGATGTTTAGAATAGAAATAATGACAGACCCTCAATTGCAGCAGTGCTAGTGGGTGCTGTTACAATAATTAAAAACAGAGTATAAAGCAGCTGTGCAGAGACTAATTTCAAGCAACCATGTGTGATTTTTGTGCCTTCTTCGTTCTCAGGAGACTCACATGTTTCGTATTTTGCACAGAGATGCATTTTTATGATAACTTGTTGAAGGCTTTTTTTAAGCATGAAATGAGGTATTTTTAAATTTAACCTCTGAAAAACTGCATTTAATTAAGAAAACTGTTGTGGATAATGGGAGCCCAGAGAATTGCTTTTGTCACTGCAACGAAGCATCAATCCATAACCCCTATGGTACATGTACAAGCACCGAATGAATTCATGCTCCATTAGCATTAGAAAAATGTTTTAAAATATATTTTGTGTACTCTTTATTTTAACTCAGTTAAAGATATTACAACAGAGCTCAGAAGTACAAAAGACATGGACTGTCAAGCTGTCTGATTTACCAGCCAGTGCAACATTGTTCTCAGAATATATTCTCTGATGCTTTTTCCAGCCCGCTTTTAATTGAATCAAATGATGAGGCTTTCATCACTTCCCTTGGGAAACTGTTCCATAATCACAGGCCTTGCTCTCAGGACAGGACTGCTTCTAATCCTCAGCTACAATTTACCTTTGTTCATCAGTTTGCATCATCCACCAAAATCAGAAAGAGAGATGATCTTTCTCCACACTGGTCTAGGCCCTTTCACATGTGGAAAGCATTGCTTTTTAATGGACCTTAAAATTAAATGGTGCTTTTTTTCCCCTTGAATTCAGTACAGCTTTGGGTTACTTAAAGGCTGTTAGAAACTCAGTAGAGAGACCTCACACGTTGTTATTGGGGTTTGGGTTTTTTTTTCGGACATGCAAAAGAGTGGCTGTTGTATTTTTACATCCTTCGTGACAAGCTCGTGGAGTCTTTTATATTAAAAGCATTTAAATCCCAGGGACCAGTCCTTAATAGTTTATTTCACTGGCTGTGTACTCTAACATGCAGACCCCCCAGCAGTCTTGACACAAAGGTGTTTACACCAAGGGAAATACTCACATTGCCTTCATAAGGTCAGAATCAGGCTTTAAAGGTGAAATTATTTTCCATGACTGCACGTGGCTTACTCGATTTCTGTTGAGATCAGTAGGAACAAAAAGCAAAGATCCATTGTTGTTGATGATAATGTGTTCACAAACTACAGTGAGGTCTCACACCGGATAGCAAGAAGGACGTGTGCCAGCTTTCTTCTGATGGGTGTCAAAATCTCTTGGTTAATAATAAATATATGTGTGCTTATTATGTGTACAGTACTTTACACAGTAGAGTGCTTTACACACATCAGCTAAGAAAAGCTTATGACTATGATAGTTCCTCCTGCCCACAGAGCCGAACATACGCTACTAAAAAATTTTCTGTGAAGCTGTTAGACAGCAGTATTAATACACAAGCCTTTGGATGTGTCATCAAGATGACATACAAAATAACAAGCTGCTTGTCCAACCTGCCTCCTCCCAACTGCTGTCATCTTTCAGGTTCATCTGTCACAGGGCTCCAGGTAATAGCTCTGAAAAGCTAGTAGATACATGTAGCCCCAGATCTGCCACCTTCTCTCCAACCCACCTACAGCCTCTCTTTTTATGCTGAAATGCAGAAAAACCACACATTGCGTTAGGAGTTCGCCTTTCCCACCAGCCACCCCTCAGGCCATTGGCTGCTGCTTTTCTGCTCTTCCTCTCTTCTCCACTTGTCCCATATATTTGGAAATTATGCAATATAGACATGAATAATAATAACATATATTAATATTTCAGTTTGTTAATGCCTGTGCGGCATTTCAACAAGTCCAAGACGTTCTAGCACTTATGTCAGGTATCCATACTCTAAAAATGGGATAATGGGAAACATTCTGTGTTTTGGAAATTCTTCCTTTTAACTGTATGGGCTCCCTGTTACTGTGGCTGGCTCCAGAAACCTGCTGTAATAATTCGGCACAGGCTTTGGGATTGTGGTTTGTTCTGATGGCCATTATTATTTATGTCATGCACACCACATTTTTAGAACCATATTGCTTTTGCTCATAAAAACCACATGGCTATAAATCCAAAGTGTTAAAGTGTCTCCCAGGCTTGAACTTAAAATAAATCTCGAGTCAGTAGTATTCCCAGTGTCAGGGGACTTACTTAGGTGACAGCAGGCTCATTTTCAAAAGGCTCTTTCCTTTTTTATTGTATCCAGGCTGGTTCTCTAAACACTGAAATCATGGGCAATGGTCATTTTGTGGCATTAGAGAGTTGAGTGACTGTCAGTTCTGCAAAAAATAATGGCTCAAAATGCCTCCTTGGGAGTAAAGTCAGGAATACTAAATGCTACAGAAAACCATTGAGGACTTATATCCTCCCTGAGATAACCTAGCTTAAGCAATGACATTTCATAGGAGGGATTCTGATCCAGCATCTGTGAACCACTCAACATGATAAGTGACTCTGGGCCAGGAAAGGAACTGTTCAACGTGTTTGTGCAGTGCCTAGCACAGCGGTGTCTCAGGCTTATTTGGAGAATATTGCTGCTTCTGAAAGAAAGAACGAAGTAGGCAGCGTAGCGTCCAGGCACCAAGTCTGCATTATGTTAGCAGATTCAACTACAAATTCCTATCTATTTCATTGCATGCAACAGGTTTTTAGGAGCTCAAATAAGGGTGAAAATACTTGAAGAAAGCTAACCATTTACACTGCTGCTTTCTCTCCATAGTATGTCCATTCCTACACTGAACATTTTTCAAATGACATGTTCCAAGAAATCCTGAAGCATCTCGGTCAGTGTGCTGATGACTTCCAAGAAGCAATAAGACATGATACGTGGAGGCAAATGTTTGCTGATCTCTTCCTAGATTGTGATTATGGAAAGGTAGGCAAAGCAGCAATCAACCTAATTTCAATATGGTGATGCTTCCTGTTTGGTATTTCTCTGGGTCACTGCTTTCTTTTTATTCTTCATGACTCTAGATACTATCTTTGTGCTTACTCGGCATTATTTTAGGGAAAAATAAGTGCTGCATTGTCTTCAAATTCATAGCTCTTAGACACAGATATAGCCAATAGCCTATGAGCTGATAGCTAATTAGTAATGAAATGACCTAACCTGATGGCTTGGGGCTGAAGTTTGATGATTCTGGAGAAGTTAGCTACGCTCTTTAGTACTTCTGGTCATTACCTGTTCCCACAGCACGTTCAGAATGTTTGGGTGCTAATTTGTCTATTCAGCTGTATTTCAGCAAAGATAACCTGATATAGATTGACCTTAATAAATGTGCACAATAGTAATATAATGTGTTAATTATGTTGCATTAATTTATACACCTTTAGGGCTTCTATCAATAAATCTCATAGTTTAAATTTAAAATGCAAAATAATCTATCTTTACAACCTCTCTGAGAAAAGTACTGTGAACTTCAACCACAGTTTATGGACAGGAAATTAAAATACAGTAAGTCAGTTACAGAGCTGGAAACGGAACTCAAAAGCCATAATTTGGTTTTCAGCAGCTCTAAACTCTATCTGTCATCCTCTGAATACACCTGCATGCCCTTTAAAAAAAAAAAAAAAGCTAGACTTATCAGAAAACCAGTAAGTTGCAGGAGCTGAAGAATCAATGGCATAAGCTATTGCTAAAAACTAGGGCTTCATCCAAAAAGTATGGTACTTGTTATGAGTACCTCAGATAGCCAGTTGCTGGCTACTACACAGCAAATGGTTGCCATAATCTTACAGTTTTCTCCCCTACATAAATTATATATTCCATCCAGCACTCCTCTAGTGATGTTTACAGCATGCCTACCCAGAATGAACTGTGCTCTACAATGTCATGCTAATAATGTCATTACCTCTAAGAGAATGGAATTACAGAGCACGTTTCAACACCAATGGTGTGTTTGAGAGAATAGCAGGCAAGCTGCTGTTTCAGGGATGAGGAAAGAAATGTGTCTACTTCTTAGCTAGAAGACATTTCATTTTCCTATTGCTCTGTCAAGAAGAGCTATGATGGATCCTCCCGGGTAGAGTAATATATAAAGTCGAGTCCTATCTTTGCCATGCATTTTGAAAGGATCCCTTCTTTCCCTTTCATGTTTTTTAATGTGACTTTCTTCCTATTATTTCTGTGGCAGTAATCACCATCTCCATGCTACTAATCCCAGTGGAATCTCAGAGGCAAAGAGCCAAAAATACTAGCACAACATAACAAGAGTGAGCAGCTATCAGCACAGAAGCCATCACTGCCCAGAAAGAAATGATCAGAGCACAAACATGGTTGCTGTATCTAGCCTCTGAGGTAGCCTTGCTCTGCAAATTGAGTTCACTAAACTGTAGTGTGGACCATGCAGTTCTTTTAAACCTGACCTGGTTTCTTTTGTATAGCTCTAATAAGTCCTGCCGTACTGTGCCCACAGGGAAGATAAAAGATGCAAACTAACCCAAGGACTTCTACCACTTGAATGTGATCCATTACCTGTAGTACTCATTCTGCAAAGCACAGCAAAGCAGTTGTTTCAGTTCCTAATTTACATTTGTTTGGTAGCAGGCAGTTATTCCAGTCTGCATGGTGAGTGTGGCTGGCTGCCTCAGTGAGTTGCAATTAGGGCCAGGGAGCTGAGAAAGCAGTGTTTAAATTACAGTCAAATTAGAAGGTATCCACATGATCATTATTATGATTTCAAATGCATGCATCCAGAAGGATGGCAGCTCAGCAAGAACAGCCTGGACTATACAGTGAAGCAGAAACTTTCCAAGACAATACCAGAACACAGTTGAATTACTGCTCTAATGCCCAGAAAGAGCTATTGCTCTGTGAATTTTAAGCTTATCGTCTCTCTGTGCTCACATGTATCAAGTATAGTTTCTTTTATACATTATACCAGAATCTACATTAATTTTCAGGGACGTTTTAAGCTTGGGATCTTTAAAGGTAACTGAATTTAGTCAGAGTTTTCAAACTAATGATGTTTGAGACACTTCTGATTACTTTCCTTGCAGTACAGCAACAACAAAGTCTGCTTTCTCATGACCTTTTCTGAGTGTCTCTTCTGCCCATCTTGCTCGCTAACAAGCATACTGTGGTGTTCAAGATATACACGTCACATTTCCAGAAAAACAATCAAGCGGTTAAACACTGACCTATCACCGATTAAATGGCAAGTCTGGTTTAGTCTGTGTTGTTAAAGGAATTACTCATAGATCACGGAACATTGCTGAAAACAACTGAGAATCATCACCTGCCAATATCGAGGTGACAAGAAAATTAGGTCAACATGTTTCAACTCTCTAGCCACTAAAGCTGGCACTCGTTAAAAGTGGAGACAAGTTTTGGGCGGTTGTACAAACACAGATGGTCTGCTGTTATTTCTAGTGGATGCCGTACCTGTCCTGCCGACGAGACTCAGTACAAAGGGCTGATGGGCAGGAATCTTTCATCAGCCTCCCCAGTCGCACACAAAGTACAAAGAAACATGACCTTTGCTAGTAAATTTAGGAACGCCGAAAGATAGCATAACTGGGGGTGGGACTGTGGTCCTGTTGTAATGCTCCTCTCTTCTACAGATAGCTTTACTGTGACATGTTCCTCCCAAGGTAATTTGTAAGGAAAAGTGTCCTGAGATAACAGGAACCTCTGGTAGAATGGCAAATCTGTATAAATTGGAAATGTAAAAAAAAAGTTGGAAAATATACCCCTAATTCATATTCTGTAATTTCTGAAAAGGAATTTACTATATTTAGCAATATATAAAAATAAAATTATTTCATCTAAATCACAAAAAACCTCTTCTAGAATCTGAGTTATCTAAATCCTCCAAGTACATTTTTTTAACATGACAAAAAAGTATCTGAATCCCAAACCAACATTTTTATTTTCTTTTCAATAATACTTCATTGTTTTCTTTTTAATAGTACTTCATTCATTGATTTACCTTTTTAATAAAACAAAGCTTTGTATTACTGCTGCCAGCTTCAGGGCAACCAGCAGATGATTGTGACGAGTAACAGCTGAGGAAATTCAAAGGGAAAATTAAGTATGTGTAATGGAAATACTGAATGGAGAATCCAAATATTCCGCGGAGATCTGGTAACGTCTTCAAAAACATGTTCTGTGTTTGCGTATCTACTAAATGGATGCAGAGTCCGATCTGATATATTCAACTGAAAAACAAACAGCATAAAGAAATGTTTGCATGGGAATGTGCAAGATATTTGTATATGAAAGTCAAGAAGATGAAGATACTGGGAATCAGGCCCTACATCTTGTAAGTTTAGGGACAGACTTATGTGATGACAATTGTTGTTCCAAACCCACACATGGCTGAAATTCAGCTGTAATTTCCAGCATTTTTTTACCAGCAGGAATTAAGATACCAGAGTCTGAAACACTAAAACTGGACTGGACAACAAGTTACAGGTCAGTTCTGATCCTTTGTCAGAATTTGCAAAAGCTTTCAATTCCCTTTACAGTAAAAGTGTTGTAGTAACAGAAAATGTGATTTATTCACTTAGTTTTCAGTATTAGCTTCCTTGGGAGGCACTTCTCCACTAAACGATGGGTATCTCTCAGCTGTTTTCAAGTCCTCTGTTCCTAAACATTGATGCTATTAATGATGGTTTTAGATTATAAACAACACAGTCATCTTGAGCTCATTTCCAGAAAAGAGCAGCAAACTTCTTCCTTTAGTTCTTCAGCCTAAGGGCAGGAAAAGTTCACAAAGAATTAAAAGCTCAGTGAATTTTACATTTTGCAGTCTTTACTCTAAGAGCAAAATGGGAAAAGGAAATCAATAATTTAGTTGGAAGGCTACTTGTTACAAATAATGAACTCAAGTAAATCTGTTTTCTAATTAACTACTGTCTTTCCCTAATGGGAGGGAGATTACAAAGGTGGTAGGACTTAAATAATGACAACAGGAATTCATCATAAAATGGAAAACTTGCCATCATTTAGATTTGCTTTACTTTTTAAATTCACGATTTCCTGATTGGAAATGAACCATTTAATTGTCTTTTCCTGGTTTTACTGTCTGTATACACTCATTCTGAGCAACAAGGACTCATTCTGAGCAATAAACTCTGCATGTTCCTCTGCACTATAACTACAGATACCTCTCTCACCTCTGTGATCAAATGTGTATGGATTTTTAAAGGAAATTAAGCAGGTTGTCATAATAGCTCAGATTTTTGGACTAATTATTTTCCCAGGCAGTTGCCAATACATAATGCTTCAAAGGACATGATGGGGCACAAAACCAAACTACAATGTGCAGTCACTAACATAATACAGCACAGCCCACAATATGTGAAAATTCTTCTGCAGTACTGTCTGGCAATCAGTGTCTGTCCTGAAAGTATGAAATGTCGAAGCTTTGATCTTTACATGAAGAACTCCTTTGGCAGAGGGGGTTACAACCACCAACTGTAATTTGTCAAGAATATGCAAGAGGATGTCCCTGCAAAGTGATAGGTATGAGGAGTTCCAGCGAAGCCCAGAGAAGAAATTTTTGCCTCTATGAAATGAAATTAACTGCTTTGAAATTTGTACTGATGTTCTGGTAATGGATAATTTTCAGTCACAGTAATTCTTAGGTAATTGTGCCTTTGTAGTGCTGCAAATGTTGATGTAAGTCCCAAGAACCAAAGAAAAAAACAATTGTAATCTTTTTGTCTAGGTTGGTCTCTTAGACAGACGAAAAATACTTGCCCTGCTGATAGACTTCTATGACAGAAGCCCCGTGATTGCTAAGAGGGGATTCTGTAACCCAAGGCAGTGTAAGTATATGGGATGTTTCAATTGTGGTTAAAACATTAGGAGGTCATATGAGGTTGTATAGTGAATATATGTTTTATAAGTGTTACCAGAAGTGAACACAGCCTAAAAAAGGACCCAAATGAATGCTGTGACCTATACACCATAATTTGAAAACATGTTTTGCAAACTGTGATGCAATGTTCAGAAATACTTCAGCATCCAAAACTTTTCCTTCCTACAAAATTCTGAATTACTTTTTGAAAGTAGGATTAAAGAAAGACTACTTTTCCTGAAACAGTTGTTCTTTCTTACTGGGCAATATTAGAAGTTAATTTTGTGTTTACACTAAAATTTCTCCAGGAACATGGAAAGATAAAGAAAAAACACAGGGAATCATCTACGGGAAAGTAAAATATTTTTAAGATATTGGACATTCATTAATTGCTAAGATCAAATGCAAGGCAAATTACAGCTTTCCTTCTTAGTATGGAGAATTATGAAACATTTATTTCAAATATGGTGTAATACACAATAACAAGTGCAGTTCTCTGCAGGCAAAGACATTCTGAAGTTCCGTGTTTCTGAGATGCATGTTTGCAGAAGGTACTTTCTGACAGTGTTTGTATTTGCTAGGAAATACCTCTTTTCTTTTTCTTTGAATTTTCTTGTGCAATACTAGAGAACATAAAACTAATGCAAACTATCAAGTTATTAATATTTTTTCTATTTTAGGGCCAATAATTGAGCTGCAAGAGATTGAGCTTGTGGATTTATGGGGAGGCCTTGATGACCAGGAAGTTTGTGAGGAACTCAGCGAGAAGTTAGTCTTGTCACAAGCAGGAAATTTTGAGGGAGGGATTTTAGCATCTGAACCTGTAGGTGATAATAGACAAGGCACATATGGAATGAGAACTAGTGTCAGAGAAGGTCTTTTTGAACAAAAGGGCATAAGTGAAGCTGAGACTGGAGGAATTTCTAAAGAAGAAAACCAAGCAGCAGAATCGAGTGATGCTGAGTTGAGAAAGGAAGATGAGGTCGCTGCGTCAGCAGTGAAAAGCACTGATTTTGAAGCTAGTGATTGGGATGGAGATACCATACATAGGGAGAAATCCAGTTTCCATGAAGATATCAAAACTGAGAGGCAAACCGAGTCTGCAAGTGCAGACAGACAGGAGGAAGCTTTCCCAGGATCAGCCTCTACTGGGTACAGTCTCAGTAAAGATGGAGAACCTGGATCTGAAAAACAGGTAGAGGAAGAGGAATTTAGCCCGGGTAGAGACCCTGACACAGAAACAAATAGGGAAGAAGGTTATCGTATCTTGGATGGAGAACCTGGCTCAGAAGAGCAAGTTTGTCAGAAGGAGGACAATGGGATTGCAGAAGCAACCAACACAATTTCAGGACCAACACCTGAAGCTATAACCACAACCTCAGAAGACAGAGCTGTGGCAGACATGGACATCATTGCTTCAAAACAGGATGCTCCAGTTGCAGAGGTTGTGAAAGAAACTCCTGCAAGAAAAGAGAGTTTTTCTAAGCAGCATGGCAGCCAGTTTGGCCAACAGACAAGCTCAGAGACAAGACTGCAGGACGAGGACCTTCTGCAAGACCAGGGTAAAGGTAAAGCACTCTCCTTTATTCTGGCAGACATTAATCTTTTTCAACATATACATTTGGACTGGTTTAACTATAGGTGTGGTTTTAATCCATTTCAAAACTATTGAAAGTATGTGAGTGGTTTCTGAATACACAAGACCATAAGCTTTGATATCTTGTCAGCATGGCGTTTCCTGCCAAGGTTTCAGAGTGTGTTCCTCTCACAGGGCGGCAGGTGAGTCACTTTGCTGGTGATCTGTATTCAAGGCACTGAGCAGACACTTTAATTCAAGCTGGGACTTTCTGAAGCAGCAGCATTTTTATAATAAGGAGAAACTTTATGTTCTGTTTCAACCTGTAATATTAGTATAGCAAGGCAGGAGCCTGAGCATGTAAAATATAGAAATGACTTTTAATAATTTTTAGACTGTGATTGCCCATAGGGAGATATAGTATGGGAACATTTAGCAGGAACCTTTCATTTTAATCTCTTACTGTGTTTCCAAAGGACTACCATACTTCCTAATTGTGTACAAAGGCCCTTATTCCAGGAAGGCTGTGGTCAGGCAACTGTGTTTCCTAAGGGGTATTTAAGGACCAACCTCCTTGCTAGCACTCTGTGAATACACTCTTGTGTCTCACAGTTTAAAACACTGCAAGAACTGGGTCTACATTGCCAGAGCAGTCTAGTGACAGACTTATTATGAAAAGGGCTGTAAAGCCGATGGTACAGCCCAGTGATACCTACGGCTTTCTGTAGTTAACTTCCAGTACACAGCGCTAACCTGTCATTCAGCCAGTCCCTGGATGCGTATCCTGCATTGTTTGGGGCATTCAGTACTTCCACCTTCAGAGCAGATTCCCACCCTGTTCTCACAGAAAAGATGGTGTGGTGGTACGATGCTCTTTGAGAGAAAGGTGAATGGAAGCAAGAAGTCTGAATATCATTTTGAACCTATCTTGGAAAAGAATTTGTCTTATTATTCTTGCTAAAATGGGTATTTGTAGCTGGGCTTAAGAAATGTGACATTCACTGTGTGAATTTCAGGAAGCAGTATTTCCAGACAGTAAAAATAAATAGCTACTGATAACAAGGGTAACTCCAGAGACACAGAGGTAGATTTTACATATTAATCAGCAGGGTGCTCAGACTAGTAAGCTCTGGTTCACAGAAGATTTCTTTTTAAAATTGCAGGTCCAGCACACTCAGACAGACAGGATTCTCCAGCTGAAACTAGCAAGGAGTTTGAAGTGCCATGGTCAGGTAACTGCTCATGTCAGCTCTTTTCATCTGCTTTAGAAACTATAGCTTGCATATATGTATTTAAAGGCTTTTAGAAAAGCTGTATCTTGTGTCTTTTTAAAAAGCTTATATCATTACAAGGTATATTTTATCTTTCATCAGGTGGCCTTCTGACTTGTGACCTAAGTTGCAGGTATAGCAGCTATGGAGCAAGAATTCCGGAGGACTGGAAGCGTGAGAACACTAGATTTCCAGGTATTTGGTCACAAAGTTGTGTGTTCACTTGGGCACATAGTGGCTGGCAGTGTCTGCAGACATGCCAGTACTGCTGTGAGCTGAAAGTTTGGGCAAGAATACAAACACTAATTCCCGAAGCTGACTTCAAGGTAAGAGCAGTGTAGTCTTTGTCTCGGAAGGCCACTTGCTGTATAACAGTAATCTCAGCTCACCTGTGTTCAGTGATTTGACCTGGTTGTACGATAGCATCCATGCTAGACTGCAGCATAAATCTGAAGAGATACTATTTGAAAAGTATAAGCAGATTAAGGCCCTTAGTCAGCATGGAGTCAGGCTGTATTGAGCCATACTTTCACTGGATAGGAAGTGCAGGATTCAGGACCGCGTTGATACCTGCCACGTGGCTGGCTTTAGGGCAGCATTTGTCTTCCTGCGACACACTGTGCTTTCTGTCTTTCAGACTTACATGCCATCATGGCAGAGATTCAGAACCGTTGGGCTTCTCGTACTAGGAGTGCCTTTGATGAAAGCTGCCTCAACCTGCCACAGTTTGTACAGCTCATGGAGACATTTGTTGGTGAAGACATTTCTCTGCCTACTGTGAAGAGGCTTATTGCATTTATCAAAGAAGAGTACAAACAGACAGAAGAGGAAAAAATAGAACAACTAGAAAAAGTAAATATTGATAAGTTTTGCTGATCCCACATCCAAACAAAAAACAAGCAAATGCCTACAGACACTGACAAAGTCAAATTTTAATCTCATGCTGGCAGAGCTATTCACTTGCAGCCTTGCATTCTCTATTTCTTCAAGAGACCTTTTACTCCTTTGTTTTCATATGGATCCTCCCTCCCTAGCCCTTAGCTCTAGAAGTGATGACAGACTCATCGTGTAAGAAGTTGTCTGTCTGTACTAGAGTTGGACTCAGTAAGACAGCAGGTTGATAGTTAATTGTGAAAGAGCTCAAAACATTCCATTCTGCTTATTCACCTTTATAATAGCCAAGAACCTGATCTCTGACCTACTGCATTGGCATGTGCATATGAAGTTTGGGATGTTTTGGGGAGGATTTTAAACCAAGTGTGTTTGGTTTTGCTATGTGCATGGCTGCGTGTGAATGTGCACATGCTTCTTTGTGTTTAAGTTACAAAGTGCTCTTGCCATGTGTTGAAAAACTATATTCCCCTTCAGCAATATCCTCATGCACAGCATCAGGGTGCCCCATATCACTTCAGAGTACAGATATATTTCTTTCTGGGTCTATCCATAGTAGCCTCTCTAGCTGCATTTTCCTCAGACCTCTTTCTAGTTTCCCTCTGTGCTGCTGACCTAATTCGGATGAGCTATTGGATCTGACGGCTCTACTGTCCTCACGCTGAACACAACACACACTGCCAGTATTTTGGCCTTTGAGACAATTCCACTCTGGCCATTTAACACTGTATACTTTGCAAAGACTGGGTTTAAAGGACAAATTGTACATGCATTTGCTTAGAGCCCATGCACCTCAGGGCAGCACCAGCAAAATAACAATGTACAGAAATACAATCTGTCACATCTTTGGGTGTTAATAACAAGGCTGTGGTTAGTTCTTGCTGGGAAGACATTTGTATTCTGGAAAACTTGCACTTACCTGAGTTGATGTCACCTTAGATCCAGCACAGGCTTCGTTTGTTCACTGGGAACTAACCCTCTGCAGTGCTGATTTTGCCTGGTAAAACGGAACTGTCAGCTGTGTTTAGTGTTTCCAAACATCTCCCAAGTTTAATGATTCATCTCCAGGTCTGAGCTGTGTATGTACAGATTTGGCCTGGCCCATAGGAATTATGTGATCAGCATACCATTGCCGTTTCCAAACTTGTGTAGACACTGAGCGTCAGTGTCCAGGAATTATCAAAGACCAGCTGTTCCTTTATTGTAGGTTCACCGCATCTCTCGCTTGGCCCAACGGAAACTGCTTTTGGAGGCACTTTTCAAAAAGTGGGACAACAATGCATCCGGGTTTCTGGACCTGGAAGAGGTGGATACTGTTCTAAGCACATTCAAGGAAGGGATGGAAAAAGAGGCCTTGAGGAAGGGTAAGGGAACAGCTCTGCTCTGAGAGAACAATGTCAACACAGTAGGCCTTAAACCATTCAATGACAGTGCTAATGAAGTTGTTGGCAAGTAGCAGTCATTTTTTGGTTTTGCAAGCAATCATAAGCATACATGGTATGATGTATAAAATGAAAAGGAACAGTTATCCAGACCTACTTGTTAATGCATAGCTCTATCCCCTCCTCCTGTACAAGTCTCCTCTGTGAAAGATTCCCAGTCAGAGAGGTAGCCCAATGCTTTCATGATGTTGTGATGCATTAAAAAATTATTTCAGCTGTAACATGCAATGTATACTTGTGATATGGCAGTGAAAAACACACGTAAAGCCTGAGGACATGTTTGCACTTTTAGTCTAGCCCATCTGTGTTATCCAGCTATTTTTAATAGATAGACTTTACTGTGCTGTCTGCAGGAATGTATCTCAGAGGAGAGGACACCAGCTTTCCTTACGGGTCTCAAATAGCCTTTAGTAAGCCACACTGTTGCACAGTTCTCATAAATTAGACAGCAACTTTGAGTCTCACTTCTCTGTTGGTTCATTTCTTCGAATAAACTTAGCGAATTTGGTCCTTGACAGAATAGACTTGGGTCAGACTGAAGTGCTGCAGGTTCACCTAGACCTGTCTGACAGCATCATACATATTGACATGTGGGCATTAGGTGCTCTGAAATACTGTATTAGCAATTAAGAACATGTCTGCGTGTGTTCTTGGGTGGAGAGGACTGGTATATTCATGTTCATCTTCATGTTGCTTGCTCTGCTGCACATTACTAAAAATGGCTCATTTTGGCAAGCACCAAAATCTCTTCATCCTTTAGCTTACTTGGGGAAGCTAGTGGGGAGCGCACTGGCATGTTACAGTTAATTGTCTCCAGGCTGCACAGCCACAGAAGAAACTGGCAGTTTACAGCTCTCCTGTATTCAAAGCATGCCAGAACACACTACAGAAATATGGAAAGATGTAGTCCCTTCCATGAAGCACTCATAAACTAAAAGACAAATAGATAGAAAGATAGCATAGCAAAATCAATACCACCTACAAGCAACATAAAACTATTCCTAGCAGCTTCAACCTAATCTCTCAACAACATCATGGAAAAAGCAGGTTTGAGGGAAGGATTCACAGACATTGCACTCCTCCTGGATGAAAACACAGAGTGAAAAGTGGGTAGAATTATTTGATTTTCCTTGTAAGTGAAAAGTGTAACATTACAGATACAATGGGGAAAATAATTTGTTATGCTGTGGCTCAGTAATGAAGGCACTCATCATGCTGTGATCAACTTCATTTGTATTTCTTTCTTCACCTCTTTCTTCAAAGAGAGGAGAAAGTGGAGGTGAAAATCCAAACATTTTTACACCATAAAAAATTCTCCATCCTACTTCTGTCAGAAAATCTGAAATTAAATTAAAAAGTACTGAGTGTTCTTTAGATGATGGACAGGATAACACAGCATTAACAGTCACCTCCACCACGATGGGGGTCAGTCAGTACTTGCTACTTCTATAGCTAAAATCAGTGATAAAATGCCCCCTGACTTCTGTGGGGGAAGGAGGAGGCACTCAGCTTCTATAAACATCAGTGTCTTGGGTGCACTGGGAGGCAATCAGAGCAGCTCCCTGCTTGTGCCCGTGCATCATTAATCAAAGCAGTTTCTATTACACTGTTCCTTATAGCCCGCTGTATATATTGATCACAAAATACTCTTTGCTTAACAGCAAAATCACACTTCTACTTATATCGCTAGTCGAAAGCGGCTTGACAAATCACTCCCTTTTCTTTACTTCTTCGAGTCCAACAGGATTTGAAATCAGCATGCAGGGGAAAAAAAAAAAAATGATGAAAGTGTTAGTCATTGCAATGCTCAGGAGAGACACTACCGGGAGCATGATCCGGCAAGCCCAGCTTGGGCAGAGCACCCGAGGAATCCCGGTTTGCCAAAGCCGGGAGACTGCCTGCAACTTCGGCAGGCTGTGCAAGAGCTCCCCCGTGAGCCCAGAGCTGTGGGGTGGGCGGCAGCAGCAGCAGCGGGTCTTGGAGAGCTGGCACAGGGCTTGAACAATGCTGATAGACCGGCTGCTGATTTAAGTAACAGCTAAATAGAAACCGATGAGGTAAATTTAGATTTTCACGCTCAGTCTGTTAGGATTACAAGTCTGAGGGTGAGTCCCATTTGTCTTCAGGACTTCTGGGCAAACTGGAACTTTGTGAACTAGAATGAGTAGGTACAGGAAAGCAATTCTTGAGAGTCATAATTTGACCCTTACAGCATTCCTCATTCCGCCAAGCAAAAGGCAACTCTGCCAGACCTTTCTACTGCAGCTTATTTGCCCGCGTTTGGGCAAGCTCAGCTGCAGTCCCTGGGACATGAAAAAGGGGACTGAGGCACAGCTCCACTCTCCAGCCTTGTGCAAGATGGGAAGGAGCAGCCTCTGTGCAGTGATCTTTACTCCTTCACTCCCCTGGGAGCTAACAGGCAGCACTTGACTGTTTTAGGTGTTTTTTCACACTAATTTATTCTTCTAAACCCTGTATTTCTTATAAAAGTTCTTGCTCCGCATCTACATCTCTTAGTGCAGTACACGTGATTCCAGAGTACTGTCGTCCCAACCTCTGTACAACTTCAATAGAGCTTTTGTTTTCTTCTTTGTTTATAAGATTTAGCACAAACCAAATGTTATTTCAATAATTCATCCAAGGCACCTAAAGAAGGGTAATTAAGAATGATAGTTACTTTGGAGGGCCTCAAAATTAAAATATAATGCCTGCAAGTATGGTAGATAATGGGAAATTGAGGAATATGAGTGATCTGTGAAATCATCTGTAGACTCTGGCTTTTACATTTTTAATGGGAGTGATGAGTAGTTTTTCTGTAAAGTCTCAACTACTATTACTGTATGCAGAATGCCTACCTGCAGCCCAGTCCCACCAGTCCTTCAAGTGTCCATAAAATTTGGTTCTGATGTGGAGATACCTCTGATTTTTGAAAACTCCAAGCAGCTTTCCTATTTTCCATTGACATTTGTTGTTTAGGTATGTTGCAGAGGCTACAAAAGGGGCACAGGAGCAATGCCATGCAGGTTTCTTTCTCAGTAGGTGAGAAAGCAGGCATCTAGAGGAAAAGGTGCAGCCAGTCTGGAAGCTGGAGATTACCTGTCATGATGACAACTTCCATTTAGGAGATAGCTGGAAGAAACCCAGAATGATGTCCTGGAGCATTCCACCCAAAGCCAGTTTAGGGCTTGATTCATATTTTGCACAGGAAAAGCAAAACTTATTATTCAAATAGATTGTCCCTGTCTTATTTTCTATTTCTTCTACTAGCAAAGAAACACCTTTGCTGCCGTTACCCACAGCTCAGCAGAGTGGGGAAGCTATCCCCAAAGGCATTCCAGACTTTCCTTGAGTTACTTGCTTCTGAGTTCCCTGGCAATGAGGATGAAGCTATTGATAACTTGGTGGAATTTCTGACCGCAAGTGTGGAACAAAGTCACATGAAGTGCTTGCAAAGCTTAACCAGGAGGAAATGGCTGTACAATATCCAGCAAGCAGCTGAGACCAGTGGAGCAAGCATGGAACCAGTTTACAAAGCAGTGTTTAAGGCCCTCACCCAGGTATGCATCCCACAGAGCGCAAGAATCACTTGTGTTGGGATTGTGACACTGACTTCAGCCCCTGCTGCATTTGAGTGGAACTCACAGGTAGCATGGGAAGTTGGTCTGAGGCTGGTTTCCTTGTGCTGTTCTGCACTTAGCCGATGTTCAGGAGAGCCCATGGTTGTGCACAGAAAGAGTCATAGGTCAGATATGCAATACAAGAATTCTCATCCATGCTTTGCCAATACAGAATGCATTTCATGGATACTTATGTCGCTTTTTGAAGAGCTGACTCAGATAAAATCTGGAAATCCATAGTTACAGTTTTGGAGCTTCTGAAATTAAACACACCAGAGTCAGTCTGGGACAAAGCTGCTTAATTTGTAGTGGAGATAGTTTCATTTTTAACTTGCAGCTGCAAGTTAAACACTTTAGATGTTTGTCCTCACCATTAAAGCCCTCCACAAAACCAAACTTCTCTCATGGTAGCTGAAGTGTTCTTACAATATTTTCTAGATTTGTAATAGCAACTCTGGCACTTGTTTGATTGTGTCAAAGGAATCTCCTATTGGAAAAGAAATCCATAGGAGTTTTGCTTAGGCACAGGTTATAATTATGGATTATTTTTATATGAACTGCTCCCTATTAGCAGCAGGAAAATAGAAATCCATTTTCCTTGCCAATTAAAATACCAAGTGGTTTTGCTTGTAACAGGGCATAGTACTGGTCAGATGGGATCACAGCATAGGCACGTACATGTCATGTAGTTGGTGCATGACATACCAAATCAGTCACCCAGAAGAGCATCTCAGCAAAAAATGAGACAAGTGCTAAGTACATGAAATAAGTGTAATGGCCAATGGCTAATGTACATAATGTAATAGGAAACATTTGGTTGCTAGGATGCAGAAACCCATGGGGATAACAAGAAGATCAGTGCATATATTGCCCTTTTGGAAGAGAACCAGCTCTCACCAGAGCGGGGACAGATTCTCCTACACTATGTGGCATGTACCGCAGATGATGCGCCATATGTTCTAAACCAGATACTTTACAGAGACATGAAAGGAGTCAGGTAAGAAAAGTTGCAAATAATTGTTCCTTTTTCTAAAAAATATTTGGAATATCGGGGTACCAGGCAATGTTTGGGGTGCACTGGAAACAGAGGCTGATAGAGTACTCCAGAGAGGAAATATCCTCAGGGACCATTGTGGAATGATTCATTATCATATACATGTCCTTATACTCTGCATGGTCTACTTAGAATGGCTCTGTTTGGGATTTCACTCCTTTCCTTGGGGAGATTACCTCACAGTCTAATAAATCTCATCCTTTAGCAAATGTCTATTACATTGGGCCTACATTTTCTTCTTTAAATATTAATTCCCTTTTCCCAGTTCACATCCACAGGATGTTTTTGAGAACAATGCCTTTCCTTCCCTAGTGTTTACACTATAAGCAGCTTTCATGCCTCTTTTCATTTTCAAAAGCTAGACATATTTGTCTCTTTCTTTAAATATTGCTTCTTCTAATCTATGAAATGTAACTGCTCCTAGCTTCTGTATTCCTTTTCATTACATTCATTAGTTGATGTTTTCAAAATGTCCTAAGGATGAAAAGTGTCTTATTTATTACCACTGTCTTTGGGATGCAAGTGGTAAATGTGGTATTTCTGGGTGTGGTCAGAGTAAGGGGCTAACACCTTCCTCCTCTGATGCCAAAAAGCAGGGAGAGATCAAAGCTGCAGTATTTATTGCTTTGCTAAAGGTTTTCTGTTACTCTTAACAAACCTCCTCATAAGTTTATTTTTCAGCTTTGCAGCCGTTGAAGAGGGAAAGCCAATCCATGTTCCAAGAGTTCAGCTCCATGGAAGTATCCACTTCTGGAATTATGACCGGCCAGTGGAAGAGAGAAAAGGTTCACTCCTGGTACTGCCATTGCACGATGCTCGCTGGAGAGCCTTTGGCATTCTAGGACTTGACACTCTTCGGGACCAATGTGAGAAAACCATCTTTCTGACCCATGAGATCAGTTTCTATCAGGTGGGCATCATCACAAAGCAGTTTGTTAGACTACTCTTCAAAAACCTGTGTAGGGACCCTGTGAATTTTACATGTTCATTCTGAGTAAATGTAAGATGTACGACTAGGAAAAGAACTGTGGGGCCCTTTTTACTGTATATGGTGACAGTGGTGTGAGCAGAACACCTTATCAATATCTTAATGATTAGCGTCTTATCTGTAATTGATTATGAGGTATCACTTCATCAAGGATGTATTTAAGCTTCTCCTGACTAGTAAACTAATTGCACTTTTGTGCAAAGCCCAAAGATAGTAAGTAGCTTTTATTCCCTGAAGCTCTGGACCTCATATTTTTGTTAGTTTCCATAAAGTGGCATGAAACCTTACTTTTTACATGGTGGAATAATTAGAAGCAACAGCAGTCCGGATTTCTTTGGGATGCTCTTTAGCATCAGCCTCATTGTGGATGCATCATCTGGGCAGCAGGGAGCGCAGCAAGCCAACATTACCAGGCAATTTGGCTATTGCCACTAAAAAACAACTTTGTCTACTTTAGGACTTGGCTGTGACAGGGGTACTCTGCAGCTTTAGAGCATTATTTGATAAGGGACATTTCACAGTTGTTTTTCGGCTTTACAAGTTCTGATTAAAGTAACTTGTTACAAACCATTTTCCTTCGTTTTGCTGCATGTACGTTTCCCCAGCTTTTTTTCCCCAAATCATATGAAACTGTCTGGCTCATTTGGAGGATTCTGCTTTCACAGGGAGTTTCTCATGCATTCAGCAAAGCCTACCACCATATCTGCACACTGGAAAATGTTCTACAAATGACTGTTACTGCTCTGGACTGGTTGTATCCTAGGGCACCCAGCATCCACACTGTTATTACGTACCTGGTGGAACCTGGCAAAGACAAGGTATGCAGACTGCTGCAGCGAAAAGGCCTGTAATAGTCAGGGGCTGGAAGGCTGCTTTGGTGAGGACATGTAATTTCTAGCTGCCTGTGAGTTCTCAGTGGTTTTATCATAAAAACTGAAGCCTGCCTGAAATTCTTGCGCCTGCCTGTGCAACAAAAGGGCTACAAAGGGAGAGAGGGAAGTTTCCTTCTGTAAAGGAGGCCACTCTTCAGTCTTTTCATCCTCCCATGTAAAACAACTCAAGAGCACTGCTAGTATAGCCCCTTCTCAAGCTGCCAGAGGAGGCCCCCAAAGATGATCAGGGGGCTGGAGCATCTCCCCTATGAGGACAGGCTGAGAGAGTTGGGGTTGTTCAGCCTGAGGAAGAGAAGGCTCCAGGGAGACTTTACAGCGGCCTTCCAGTACTTAAAGGGGGCCTACAGGAAAGATGGGGAGGGACTCTTTAACAGGGAGTGTAGTGATAGGACGAGGGGTGATGGTTTTAAACTGAAAGAGGCTAGATTTAGATTATATACTAGGAAAAAATTCTTCACTGTGAGGGTGGTGAGGCACTGGAACAGGCTGCCCAGAGAAGCTGTGGATGCCTCCTCCCTGGAAGTGTTCAAGGCCAGGTTGGACGAGGCTTTGAGCAACCTGATCTAGTGGAAGGTGTCTCTGTCTGTGGCAGGGGGGTTGGACCTAGATGCTCTTTAAGGTCCCTTCCAACACAAATCATTCTATGATTCTCCACAGGAAAAGGGACTATTCTCCTACATCAGTGCTCACAGCTGCACAGCAACCAATAGAGCAAAACCCCACACCCATCCATCCATCCATCTGTCTGTAGGTTAGCCAACACTGCAAGTCCCTGCTAAAGCTTTGCTGTCTGGGACCTCCACAAAGGGAGATGCTCTTCTGTGGAGATTTTGTGCATGTCAAAATTATGGTATTTTATAGGAAAAAAGAATGTCCCAGCTAATGTATTAGCTCTTCATTCTGAACTAATGTCAGCAGCCAAGACATAAATACAACTCAGGAAGTGGCTGCTTCCCGATTAGCTAGCTTGTAACAGCAGCCCCCCTCCCAGCAGATCATATTCCAATTGTTCAGCAGGCACTCGGGCCCTGGGAAGCTTGTCACTTCACGTACAAGTAAGTTAAGAAGACGAAAATTGTATGAAATATTTAGGACTGATCCTGTGTCATCACAAAGTCTGTATGACATCTGCTGTAGCCATAATTCAGCTGCTTCCTCTGATAAGCTTGGTTTATGTTGGCAGCTTTCTGTTGTCATTCCAGGCTTTGCACTGTTCCCTTGTTAGCTGCCTGATAGCGAGGTCATTTGTTCCCCTCTATGCTTTTCACGTGTCAAGGCACACTGACACAACCATGACACGAGAAAGAGGACTGCAAGAGGATGGGAAAAAGAAGGGAAACCTCTTCTTGGCCTGTGGGTGTTCCTCAGTGTGGAGCCTGGGGGTGGATTAAATAGCTGAGGGAGGTCCAGGGCACATTCTTCATCCATCTTGAGCAATACACTCTGGGAATAAAACCAAGCATTGTTGGGAAATGTCTTTAAACCATCCCATTGCACTTGAATGTACATAGGAGTTTCCTTTAAGAGATAAACAATTTCCTCCCTCTCCAGGCTTCAAAATGGCTGTTCCTTTCTTGGATGCAGCTAAACCTCCCTTTTCTCTCTGGCAGACATGGGACTATGCTCTGCGCAAGATGCTTACTACAGATAATACAGGACAAAAAGAAATTCATAGCTCTCCTGTCCTTCTCCTCAGAAAAGAAAACCTCTTAAGGTAGGTTCCAGGACCTGCAATCAAACTAGTCACCTCTGGTCCTACACTCCAGCCTGCATCAGGCATGATCCACATTATGTAAAGCCCATGGTAATGCAACCCTGTGGGAGTGTCTGGCTATAGCTCTCTCACGATCAAGGCTTCTGGTGTGTTTGCATGTGATACTGAATTATGAAGGGGTGAGTTTTTCTTTGAGTTTAGGCCTGCAAAAACTTAACATCTGACTTAATGCTTACCAGCTGAGCTGCCAAGCAAGCTCTACATCTGCTGCGAAAGGTTTGCAGGATTAGAGCCTACACTGAACCATTTTGCTCTTTAGAATAATCTGTCTTTTTCCCTGGCCATATTAGTCTCATTTTCTTCAACTGTCTGTTTCCTTCCACTGCCAAGATCTTCACAGACTTGTCTTTTAAGCATACCGTCCTTGTTGTCAAAGTTGGGTGAACAGCCATTTGCTGTTCCAGCAGATGTTTTTACTTTTTATAAAACTCTATAGAACAAATGTCAATGCGATTATAAACAGGAAACTGTTTTTAAAGCAAGGTTTCTTAAATTTTTATGATTTTCAGCAATTGCCTTAGCTAAGCAATATTGTGTTCCACAATGCTATTTTCTCCTTTTTGTATATGGCTTGAGTGATACTTAAAGCTGTGCATATTTCAGTTCAAGGAAATAAAAAAATGATTCACTAACGTAATACCTTTGTTTTAACAACAAGACATGAACGGCATCTTACTAAAATATGCTAAATAAATTACCGAAAGTAACGGGAATGGTAAAGTTTAGTACACTTTCCTCTCTTTACTCTCATTTCAGAGATTACCTATTTAAGTGCACAGACAGTTCACAGGTCATTTACACTTCTGTCTGTGGAGAATACCACATTGCAGTACCTCTCCGTGACCTATCAGGACAAGCTCTTGGGATATTTGATATCAGCATTGGACACCACCAGAAATTACCACCTCACGAACACAAAGACCTGCAGAAAATGCTAAAGATGGCCCAAGCTGCCTGCTCTGAGACACTGAAGATGTCCTTAGAGGAAACAGAACCAACCTATGTACTGGGTATTGTGCATACAGAGCCAAGATAGGTTTTTTAGGGATGAAATTAGGAATCTCAGTAAAACCACATCTAAAGTATAATTCCTACAAATATGGAAAGACAAACACAAACCTTTGGCACACGTAAACTACTCCTGAGCAAGCCCAAGTGCTTAGCAGAGTAGAGTTAAACAGAATGTTTAGATTTTGACTCTTGTTCACAGGGTATTTTGTGTGCAAGTCCCACTGAAATCAAAGGTGTGAAGCAAGGTGCTTTGTTCCCTTCAGGGATCTAGCATGTCCTCCTCAGAACTGCCCCAACTAAGATCAAAAGGATTTGAATGTCACAATTACAGAACTACCTGCATGCCTGAACCTTTCATGGTGTCAGGACCTCTGCCTGCCCCTGAGGCAAGCTTTGTCTCCTTCTCAAGCACATACCCGTTTTTAAAATTGCATAGGATACTTGGGCTGTATACAAATTAATCGATCAAGGAGACAAAGAATTAATCATAAAGAGGACAGAGCCTTTCAGTCAATAACATAAGTCTTGAGTAGCAGATGTTTCTGAGCAACTTCTTGAAAGGTTTGCTTTTGATTCCAGAGGCAGAACACATCGCAAATCTGAGGCATGCAGGGATTCTGTTCCACCGATTCATGCTACAGGACCTGCGTGAGTGTGTCCAGAAACTTGATGCTGAGAGCTTTGCTGAAATAAAGAGCTATGTAGAACCGCCAGCTCTGGTACATAACATAGTTAAGGCTGTGCTGTTGCTTCTCCATCCAAACTGGAAGGGGTCAGAGACGACTGAGAACTGGAGTCAGTGTAAACTGGTGAGACTTCAAAATATTGAGACTTTGTTTTCTGCTCTTCTTCCCTCAAGAAAATACAGTAGAATTTGCCAAGGGTGAATTGGCAGTGAAATAATTCATTACCTACAGATTTCCTATATGCTTTTCTCAGCGACCTTTAATTCTGTAACCCTTTCTTAAGTTTTTCACTGCCACCTGACTTTTTGTTCTCTGCATTGCAGAAACTTGATGACAGTTTGATTCAGGAGATTTATTGCTTTGATCCAACTGCTGCATCTGTACAAGTTCAAGCAGAGCTGCTGCTGGACTGCATCACTGGTAAATATCATGAACTAATTGTGAGATTACCAGACACAGTTCAGCAATGAAACAGTGTCAGTGGCAACTTTCAGCTGAGTGCTTTTAAGGTCCTTACTTCAGAAATTAACTTTGATTTCACAATAGATTAAACAACAGATAAAGGGTCCTAAATATCTGCAGTCTTCTTTGGTCAATAAAAGCAAACCTGTTAAATTTAGAATCAAAATTCACTGCCTTAAGGAAAGGGGAGCAGATCAGCTTTGAAACCTACCAGAACAAGTGATCTCATTGTAAACCTCCAGATAAACATATTAAGAATGATGGTTCTTTTGGCAAGTAATATGTAAAGACATACTAAGAATGATGGTTCTTTTGGCAAGTAAATCTACTTCAGACTTCCGTGCCCTGCCCTAGGGACTCACCCAGCTCCAAACAGCAACATGATGGTGGGAGGACAGCGTGAGCCCTCCTCCTTGTAAACACCATCTGCCAGGTACTTAATATACTCGCTGGCCATATACAGGAGCTGGTTTTCAGTCTGTCTTTCTCTCCTTTAATGAATGTGGGCTTTTTTGCTGCCAGAGCAGTCAAGAGGCTATTATTATTATTATACAATATTGCTGCAAGAGAAATGACTATTGTTCTTGTTGAGATCTTTCACTTGATGATGTAATGCCAGACTGAAGAGGCCTGTTAAAAATCAAATGTGGACAAGACTTGTTAGTTTAGCTGGAGATATTTATCAACAGTATCCTGCCTACTGATGAACAGTGAACACTTAATGCAGTCATAGCTCCTTTTCATGTGTTCTCCTCATATATATTAAATTAATTCACTGGAAAGAATGAAGTGGGCCTAGAGCATCCAGTCTTCCTCCAGTTGGGGATGCAGATGTAATTAGAAAGAATACAGCTTTGGCAAACTGCTGGTATGCTACAAAATTTGGCTTCCCAGGATGGAACTTGTTCTGAGAGTAGTGTCAGATCAGTGGTGTCAGTACAGGTATAACTCACAATTGTAGCAATTTCTTTAAAATGACCGTCAGTGTTCACACATGGTGTATGTTGGATAATGCCCTTATGTTCCATATATGTGTGCTGTAATATAGAACAGAGCACAAAATAACCTACACTCTATCGGCAGAGCAACCTTTAATGGTATGATTCTATGCTGACCTTTAACAGCATTTAGTAAACGAGTCTTGAAGGATAATCACTCTCAAATCAAATCTGAGCTTGGGAAAAAAAGCACTTTTCTCTTTATATTTTAAATTACCAAATGTTTAGTATTAAAATACAGCAGACCACTCTGTGCAACAGAAGACCTACCACAATACACAATATATTCTAATAAAAAGGCAGCGTTCCTATGCTTGACCAGTCACTGTCACAACAACGCTATGTGCTTCTCAAAGCATCACCATTTTCCAGGGTGGAACTATCGGACTCAGGGGGAGCTCCACTGATGCGATGATCTTCTGTTCAGTCTTGTAGCAACACCAGTCACGGTTTCGACTTGGGCTTTTGGAGTTACCTCTCTTCTTTGTTTCAGGTGTACCTCAAGCGGCGGTGTGGCAGCAGGGCTCAGCTCCAGCCGAGTACTTGTACCACTGGGTAGACACCTGCCTGTCACTAGCAGAGATCACAAGGAGCCTACACAGTAAAACCACCCCATCTTTAGCCCCTTTTGGCACCCAGTTCCAGTGTACCTCCAATTAAATCTCTTAATTCCTCATCCAACCTTAGCGATTCTGGTATTTGACGTATTTTATTAAATTAACTGTTGCTTTTTTATTTTTTTATGCATAGCTACTAAGTATTTGTTGTTAAGATGTTAGGAAGTCTGTTAGGGATTATTAAGAAAAAGCAGTAAAAACATTAAAGGAAACAATTTTGCTAGTATAATACTATATATATTTTGCTACACTTTAAAAAGCTTGATTAATGTTTTGGTTTTTTTAATTAATTCTGATGAGAGAGAGGCAGGGACGAGTTTATGACTACCAAGCTGCAATGTTCATGAATGATACAGCAAAAATTTTCAAGATTCAGTCTCCTTAAATTACTTTTTAGGAGTAATTTTAACTACAGGTTGTTAATCAGCATTTTGTCAAGTTCTTCTAAACGTGTTGTGGAAAAGCCCTACATTTTAATATAGGACAAAAAAAAAAAGCTTTCTTATTGGTATAAAGCTTGAGATTACAGCCAACTGCACCGTCTGCAGCAAGATTTCATCTTTCCAATAAGGTTTCTTTTAGCAGAATCACTTTTTTAATAAAATTCTGGGAAATTAAACTCTTCTTTCTTTCTTTAGTCGGCAACAAGCGACACCTCCAGGTAGGTGACGACTGGCGGGGGCCCGTTGGCCTCCCCCCCCCCCGCGGGGGAGCGGCGGCCACCGGCTGCCGCAGGGAGGTCGCCTCAGGGGCCTTTCCCGCCTCAGGGGCCTTTCCCGCCGCCGGCCCCACGCGGGCCCTCGTGCCCGGCCGCGGGCAGCAGCGGCCACTGCTGTGAGGAGCTGCCGGCGCCCTCGGCTCGGCTCGGCTC